TAAATGTTTAAATAATTCAAGTAATCCAGGAAATGGCTTGTTTTGATTAGGTTGGTAGTTTTTATTTTTAAGGAAATAATATGATTTTATATTTATAATCAATGAGCTTTAATGTTATTTGCTATGGTGTAACTAAATTATCAGATGGCAATTATTCATGGTTGAATTTGTATTCTTGATGGAAGTTTAAGGGATTATTTTAGGTCTTTGGATCCAAATTTTGACACCATCATCGGATCATTTTTTACGAAACTCACTTGCTTTGTGTTATATGTAAATGTACAGCACGCATTAAGTCGGCGCTCGATATAGTGTAGTTTTGGCTGGTACAAATTTGGAAACTAACTTCAGAAAAATTGAATTTGATTGGATATTAACGCAGATAGTTTCTAAATTTGTACTAGTTACACAACGAAATTTCAACACTGGGCCTACAGCTCTTATCTTGGCTGAAAAGAATTAGAAAATGAGTTTTTATTAATTGATGTTCGGTCAAGTTTACATGTGATGAAAACATAAATAAATAAAATAATACAAATCAAAGCTCGTTACAATGACCCCTTGGTTGCCAAAATTTTGTTCACTGTAACAAAAATCTCTTTTTAGTTAACATATTATGTAATTTAATGTAAAGTTCATTGTAATGAGAGTTTTTTTTTAATTATAATTTTATTTATTTAAATCATTAAATCATAACGATATTAGGAAATTTTTTTGATACAATTCTAAAATCACTTATTGGAGAGTTGAGTAAGTTTTATATAAAAAATTAAAAACTTATATACAAGTGTTTTCCTGATCCCAGCTGGCTAAACAAGCCATTAAACTCCTTAGCCAGATGACATCACTATTAAAATCATGCAATTATTGTTAGAATAAGACAAATTATGATCAATGACATGTGATTTTTCCACTATAACGAATTTATTTCTATTATGCGTTCAATATAAAAAATTTTCAATGTTCACTCTACATTACAGAGATTTTTTATTATGATGTTCACTGTAACGAGCAAAATTTATTATAGTGTGAACTGGGATGTGAAAAAAAGTTCACTATAAGCCATTTCCACTGTAATGAGATTCATTGTAATGACTGTATAATAGATATTTGTAAAAATAATCAAATTAATCTAAAGGTATAATCTAAATATTTATATCCAATACGAATAATTATAAAATAATAATTCTACAATTCGGAATTTTTGTTTGCCAGATTTGACAAGGTGACATGATGTTATTTCAATAAATATGATTGTTATCCAATAAATTCACGTTTCAAGCTATATTCTAAATTATCAAATATATCCAATTACCTTGTTCCAAAGTATCCAAACTTCTAGAAATCTATGTTTATTAAAGCAGCGATGATGAGCACACAAATCGCATCCGTTAGTGTATTGTAAAAGTAGAATGGTAAATGATGAAATTGCTAATTCTTGTGTGTCAAATGTCATTAGTATAACAAAAGGTCATTATTACTCTTACAAACTCAACTCTTTATCATTGCTTGTTACACCCCGCAGGACCCGAATATAATAAAAGATTATTTAAATTTTACATTCATATAAACTTTTGATTTTTTCATCAAAAATTAAAATATTTCGTATTTCATGAATATTATCTCAAACCAAATTATATATATAATATTACTTGGATCATTACGAGAGAATAATATGCATTCATCATTTACTACACTATTTAAAAGCATCTTCCGGAACTGATTTAACGTAATATAAGATAAATTATCCAAATTTTCACATGATCCTAGAGAGTAGATGTCGGTTATTTTCATAATACATTGCAATAACCTTACCGTTTCCAAATACTATTAATACATAGCTATTCTGAATAATTAGATTATCTTTTGATTACGTTTACAGATCCAAGTTAGGAACCCTTATTGTTTATAAATTATTTAAAATATTTACAACTTCCCAGTTTTTTTATGATCCATCTTTTGAATATTATTTAATTTCTTCTATCACTGATTTTCGTTTAAGTCACCATTTTTGTTCACGTTAATAGAATTATTATTGGTAGGGAGAAATTCAATATGGTATAACTCTTGCAGAACGCATGTTATGCCATGCAAGAGTTATACCATACTGAATATCCCTATACTCAATTATTAATAATAATTTTTTAACAAAAAATCCAAGTTAGGAACCCTTATTGTTTATAAATTATTTAAAATATTTACAACTTCCCAGTTTTTTTATGATCCATCTTTTGAATATTATTTAATTTCTTCTATCACTGATTTTCGTTTAAGTCACCATTTTTGTTCACGTCTATGATAGGTATTTCGTTTGGATTTGTTAATTAATATGATTTGCATAAATTCCGATTTGTGATCTCTCCGCGTTTTTTTTTATAAAGGTTACATGCTTTTTTCTGCAAAAAATCAAAGAATTTACATCCAGAAACCCGTTTGATAGTATGAATTTGATGTATATACTAATCAAAAGGGTAAAAATCTTTAATTTAATCTACTAAAAATAAGCTAACTTCTTACCTATACTTGATAAAGGATTTATTTGATTCTTTTTATTAATTTCTTCTTGATATTCATCTAGAAGACTTTCTTTGGCGATTACCCCAACTATTTTTCTACCAATATATTTTTTAATTTCTTCGTTTATCCATCTTAAACAAGGGTGCTGTCTAATTTCGGATTCTTTATTTTTTTTAGTAGGAAAAAAATATTAAAACAGATCGCCGAGTACTTCTTTTGCATCCAAAATTATTTTTAAATGCCTTTCAAAAAGCCTTTCATCATATGGACGGTCTAACAGAATTTTTGCACCACAGATACAATTAACTAAAGTTGAACTTAACATTCTGGCACAACATTCATGTGCTTGAGGTTTTCAAGTAACCCATTTTTTTTACGAAAAAACCAAAAATTGAAAGATATGATACAGTATATATATAACGATACGATTTTTTGATTTTGTAATTATGAAAAAATAAGAAATAAAGATGATTGTATACAATGATTTTTGAGATTCATGTTTTAAAGACTATTTACATTTTTTTATTATAAAGTTCAATTAATTAAATTGAAACACTTGCAAAAAAAAGCGTTTAGAATGAGTTTTACAAATAAAGCCTGAAAATCATAAAATGCTCGATCTCTAATACTATACAGATAGGTCCGCCGGATAGGTCATATTAAACCCAAGAAAAGTTTTATATGAGCTCTACCTTTTTTTTACACAAAATGTGCGTACCACCTTATATTAATACTATATCTACCTACACAAATTTTTTGTTAAAAAATTATTATTAATAATTGAGTATAGGGATATTCAGTATGGTATAACTCTTGCATGGCATAACATGCGTTCTGCAAGAGTTATACCATATTGAATTTCTCCCTACCAATAATAATTCTATTAACGTGAACAACAAAATCAACAGAGTTTTGTAAATATATATTTTTTACATCTTCATCACTCCAACCAGAACATGGACGAAATTCAAATTTATT